TTTAATGAAGTTCTTTCGTACCGTCGAGACGAACCGCTCGAAACTCAATTTCGCTTTCTCTCAGCTGCACAAAATTATTTCTCCCATATTTTATTATTATTGTTGCCGTATGAATGCAAATGAGATTCAAATGTTTGCATAATTCATCTCGCTCTCTTTCTCTCACGAAAAGATAATTCCAAGTTTTATACTCTCATCAAAACACAGAATAATTTCCTGCCGCGGCAGCCATGGAAATTAATTTGAAATTCATTAGCGGGGGAAATAAAGTTTCGCAAGGCAAACACGCGCGCGCGTTTCCCAGTTACTGCGTCGGCAACTTTTGATGAGATTTCTCGCTAATCTTCTCATCTTGCTTGACGCGGAGAATCATAATAATTTGTTATTCTCGTGCAAGCAAACAGGGATCTGCGAGCAGCTCTTTTGTGTAATTAAAATTAGGCGTGCGGAAAATAACTCGCTTCTGGGTGTAATTTAGTGGGCCGCAAAAAGCTGCTTACGCCTCCGCCGCCGCCACTGGAGAGACTACTTGTTTATTAAATTTCTTGTAAATCCACCGCTGCTGAGGGAGATTTTCCGCCCCGTTCATAACTTGACGAATTTTAATTCGCGAATTATTGTGGCTGATGAAAAACTGCAGTAATTGAAGAGGCCTCAGCTTATTATCAAGTAAACTTTTAGAATAAATTTTATGTTTTCCGTTCACTTTCCAATCGATTTGCCACGTTTTTTACCATTGCAAAGCTAATGATATCCTTTGTGTAAAATAATTGCAATAATGGTTGACTATTCAGTAACTTTTTTAAAATTAAGATATTATTTTTCCGATTTCCACGCAACCACGAAGATATCTCATAAGAAAAAAAATAACGTAAACAATTTGCACGTCACACGTCTCACGTGACGCGCAGGTTGCATATGTTCCAAAATTAAAAAATTGTATATTTCTTTTAAACTTTTTCGCTCATTCGATTTTTGTAAGCAAAAGGATGAACCCGTTCGCCCCGCCCAGACTTTTCTTTATCCCCCACAGTAATTTTCCATCCAGATTTTTCTCGGTGGCTGCGTTTGTGCTGAGAAAGAAGCCAAGTGGAAGAAATAGGAGGAGAAAGCGCAAAGGGAGAACGAGGTAAAAAGAAAGAGAGAAAAGCGTCTGTGCGTTTCAGTGAATTACGGCCGCTTAAATCCTGTGCGTCGTCGGCGTCGGCTCGGAGAACAAAAGGAAAGAGAGAAAGGAGGTGTGGTTTCGAGCAATTCGCCTGCTCTGAAGCATTAAACTAATTGGGAATCGAGAGGAGCGGCCGGAATCGCAGCCGGCAAAGATGGGTGAATTCGCCGAGGCCATTACTTAAGTGCTAAATGACGAGGAAAGGAGCACAACTTTGGCGCTAAATCACCTACCATTCAGACTGGCACACCTGATTTCGCATTTGAACCCTCTGGAGAATTGCGCTCAATTCGCCAAAACTCTAAAAAGAAAAAATTGAGGTGAATTATGATCGAAATAAATAACCAAGTAGCAGCACAACTATTATTCCAAATTGGAATTTATGTTATCGCAGGCACGGAGAAATGACGAACAATAATTAAAAATAAACCGTGTTCTTTTAATTTAAGCTGTTGAAAAAGCAAAGAAAAGAATCAAGAGGAAATCGAATTTGAACACCTCAAAAAAGTTTGATTTGTTTAAATTAAATTTTCAACAAAATTTTAGCAAATTTTATTATTAATTTATTATTGATGTATTTTAACTTCATGAAACTGCTGTGATGAATTTATAGAAGCAATTCTAGATATTTCACCTCTATAATGGTGGTTTAAAAAAATTAGAGCCATAATTTTGCTTCGAACAAACGATTCATGAAGATATTTATCTTCGTGAATCGTTTGTTCTTTATCTTAAGAAGGAACAATGAAGCCATAACGCAGCAAAAATGGTTGGAATTCAAGTTTTTCTTTTTATACAAAGGTTTTATCTGAAAATTATCTGCTATTTTTTTCGCGTGTTTTCTATTTTATTGATTTTCAATCATTAGTGTTTCTTTTGAAGTGCTTTTTACCAAGTTTTAAACAAAACACCCGAAGTCAATAAACATGAGGGTTTTAAGGCTCCAATGCAACATTAGACAGATAATCCAGCTTTACTCACCCTTTTGCCAGTTCTCAATCATTTCGTTTACAGCTTTTTGACGCACACTCGGCAGAGAGATGATTTCTGCTCAAAGCGGCGGCAGTACTTTTGTAAATAGCGTTACCAAAGATAAAAGAAACAATTTATGCTTTTCTCTCTGCAGCCTCTCTCTCTACACACACTCAAAACGCAAAAGAGGCACGAGTGATATTACGCGCGTGTGTATTTTTATGGCTCTTTCCAATTGAAATCACAACGAAGTGCTTCAGAATAAAACATTACGCACGCACATGTAAGCTTTTGTCGCTCAAATCACACGGCCGTGCTAAAAAGAGTAAACAAATTTTGCAACACGCTAAAGAACTGCCAGCATTAGCCCGCCCGCCTGTACTTGTTTGAATTTTTGTTTTCATTTTTTTTCTCTCGCTGATGAAAAATTCAAGAGCGTGGATGGAGTCGAAAAAATGAGGCGGCGGTTCTCCGACCAAAGTGCTGATTGTATAGATTGCCTGATCAAAAATTGATGCTCCTCGGCCGGAAAACTATTTGCTTTTTGCCGCCAACACACACGTGATTAAGATTAAACACGATTTATTTGATGCGCACGCTTTGCTCTCGCAATGAAAAAAAAATATTGCATTGACAGCAAATCGAGATTTGAATTTTTTTCCCACGTTGAAGGCAGCAGAAATGGATGGTTTGAGTGTTCGTTAATAATTAAAATTGAACACTGAATTTTATTGAAATGAACAATGACATTTTATTATTTATTTTAATTTTTTCAATGTCACATTGTTTCATTATTCATTATACACATATTGAAATAAGTCATCTAGAATCTAGAAGGTTTGTAAGCTTGAGTTGAATTAGTGCTATGGAATAAGAAATTTCTTCATCAATAAATAATATCCATAATTGTACACAAGCATTTCAATAAAAATGTATACTACGTCATAAAGTAAACTTTTATGTGCAGCGTATAGATTTTTCACGATTTTATGAATAAACATTAAAAAAATCTAAAAATTTAGTCATGAGCTGAATTTGATAAAAAGTTTTAATCTGCACACTAATAACTTTTGAACTCTAATTAAGTTCTATTGTTTAAACAAGCTGGATCTTAAAATTATCTCAATTTAAGGCAAACAATTTGTTCGCTCTGATAAGACAATTAGTTTTATTGACTTAATGAGTGTTTGGAGGCCTGACAATGGGGCGCACTCTGGGCAGGGCGTGCGATGATCAAACACCGGCTATGCACTTTGGCGCGGCATCAATAATGCAGCGATCACCGTTCTCTCTCTCTCTCTCTCACTTTATAGATAGACCGCCGCTTAACATCATCAATACTGCGCCGCCGTGCGCAGGGTGGCGATGAATTGAGGGGCTGCTCGCTCGCCTCCTCCATACATCGATACGCCCTGTTTGTGTTTGTGCACGCCGACTGACCCCACCATCAAATATTCCCTTTCTACAAAGGCAGGGCGGTAATTCAAGTAGCAACTCGCCGGTAATTTATGGTGATTACATTAATTGAGAGGCGCAGCTACGAGTGCCCCTTCAATTATTCAGCGCAAGACTCTGCGCCGCGCCGTTTTCTTTCATCTAATTAGCTCTAATTGAATGGGTGACGACGCGCTTGAGATTTTTCTAGTGCGTGAAACTGATTCCATATCTTTTCATCAAATAAAAAAGTTCATAGCTTGCCAAAGATTAATTTTTTTTTTATTAAAAATGGTTAAAAATATGGTAATTTGGTGACACTTTGTGGTTTTGTGTGGCGGAGTGGTATTAAAAAAAAATCATATGTATTTGTAATGTAATAAAAAAAAGCTTCATTATTGAAATAAATTTTACTGTAGGATCAGTTTTTATTTGTTTGAAAAGATTTATTTCCATTTCCTGAATATGATAAACTAATTAACTTCTAAAACTGAAAGAACAGAAATTCACCGAGCGAAATACTAAATTAAGCACAAATTTATTTCTCTGAAAGCATTTTTGAGTCTTTGCGCGCCCACTTGAAATTTTCCGCGACGTCTTCGTTATCCGAGCGAAAGGCACGTCCGAAACTTGTTTGTTTGCTCGTCGTCGGCGCGGCGGGTTGTGTCGTGTCTCGTATTTTATTACAGCATTATGGTAATAAGCGAAATCCCAGTGGACGAGTTGTTAGACGTGCAAGACAAACAATCGCAGCATCTCCAGAGGTTGACTGCGCTGGAGAGACGGCGCGCTTAACTCCATTAGCGAAATTGGCCTCTTAACTTGCAGAGCAGGTCGGCCGCGCTCCACAAGAGCAGCCAAATTACTTATTGATACCCAGGCCGCCTCTGTATTGAATTACGCAAGCCCAGCAAAACACGGTCCCACTCGGAGGCTGCGATCAAGAAATCGCGTTTCTTGATCCAAATTGAGGACTGTTTGTCTATTTAATTTATTGCCCCTTGAAGATAATTTTCCATAAAATAATTCAACTTAATTTAAAAAAATAAGAGTTAAAAAATGCAATAATTACTTGGAAAGTCACATTATTTTAGATCATAATTAGAAAAACATAATGGACAATAGAGCTTCAAAAACAATAAAATAAATAAATTTGCAAATTTTTTGTTTTGAAAGTTGTTTAAAAAAAGCCAGATAATTACACATGCTATAAAATTTTCTCTGAAGAAGTGAAATTATTTTCAATAATTAAGAAAATTTAACCGAAAGAGATAAAAATTTGAGTTTTGTTCATAAAATTGAAATTGTTTAAAATTTCTCAATTTATCCTTAAACCTATAACCAACAAGTAACCGTACTCATAAAAAAAATATTTAACAAAAGATGTGGGTTTCCTTATAAAAAAATCATTGTTTTCAAGGTGTTTTGTCAATAATTTATTAGAGTAAGATGCCAATAATGCATAATTACACACAACATCGATTTCTTTTGTAAGTGACGGAGTAGAATTTTTACACCAGGGTTTCTTTAACAAACATTTTTGGTACACTTAATAAGTTCATTGCGGAGATTGCAGTTTTATCATATTTTTTTTTTAATTAATTAACAACAATTTTGCTCATAAGTAAATATTGTACGCTAATAACCGTATTATGATACATGATTGGATTCTTACACACTATTCATTTCTCGTATACGCATCTAACACCGAAATCAAGTGGCGTCTCTCTTGAACCTATGCGAAGTTTACTGCGGTAGTGCTTCTGAACAAAGAGACTATCAATTAATTATTCGTAACAAGTAGTAACAACCGAGAGGTTTGTGAGTTTGATTAGAATAGATTAAATGCGTCCTTAGTCTTCGCTATTGATTAAATTCTAGAGGTGTGTGCTTTCATTTATTTACATCTCGGAATTTATTATTTTTGTTAATAAAAATCTAGACTTTGCTCAATATTTTGACTAAAATCTGGAATATTTGAACTAGCGCAATTGGTATTGAATTGTGTATTTTTGGAAATGGCCATTGCTTAGCTTACAGCTATTTATAACTTTGATTCAAATTGATCGTCTAAATTGAGGAGACTAATATATTTATTGTAAAAAGGAAAATTTATTCAAAAAGGAGAAGTATCCAATTGAGATTTTGCAAATATTAATTTGCCAGTCTGGAAACCAATAAATCACTACATAGATGAGCCTTTAAGAATGCTTCTTAAAAAAATTCATTTTCTTTTTGCATTATTTTTCCACCCAATGCATGGCAGTTTGAACGGGCAATAATTAATGAACATTAATTTATTCATTCACTTCGAGCATGTATATAATTAGTATTTCAACATATTTTGCAAAAAGAGTTGATAACTTTTTTTAACCATGTTTTTAAAACCGAATTGCTGAGATCTCTCCTGAATCAAATTGATTTTTATATCGCAGCTCATCAAAAACTTGCTCATAAAATAAAATAAAAAATGTTGTTTAACTTTTAGTGAAGTTGGCAAAATTGGCAAAAAAGCAAACCGGTTCAGGGCGAGGGTGATGCGGGTCTGCTGGAGGAGTCGGCGGCGGCTCTGGGGTCGGTGGGCGGCGAGTGGGGCGGCGACTTGCGCATGGCCTGGTGCAGATTGATGGGCTGCTGCTGCTGGAGGGCCGAGTGGAGCGAGGCGACGGCCGCCGCGGCCACCGCGTTGTGCGTGTGTTGCTGCTGGGCCCTGATGCTGGCCACGTGGTGCAGGCTGTGCAGCAGCGCGGCCGAGTGTTCCTGCGCCTTGCGCCGCAGCTCGGCCACGCTTGACGAACGCTGCTCCTGCTCCTGGGCGGCCGCGGCCGCCGCGGCCAGCGAGCTCATCAGGCCCGAGCCGTGGTGGTGCAGCCCCGACGGCTTCATCGACGGACAGCACGAGCACAGGCCCGGAAAAGCTGCTGACAATAAATATAGTTTTTCCCATTGAGAAACTATCCGAAAACAAAGAAACTCGTTAAATTCAAGGCACATTGAATGCAAACAATTTTGTCTAAAGTGAGAAAAGAAAATAATTTTACAAAATTGAGGTTTTAAAGAGTAATTTTTTGTAAACATTCGATAACATTTATGATTTTTTTTGTTTTTATGGAAATATAAAAAGTCTTCTTTTCTTAAATGTGAATTCCTAAAAATTAAAATTTTACTAATTTATGCCTTTTTAGTAGCAAATATTTTAAAGAAGCTTTATTTAAAAACAGTAAAAAAACATATTCTAGAAGCTCTTTTTTATGATTTTTTTTTTAATTAAAATTATCATAAAAATATTTTTTTTGTGATATAAATTTTGGCCAAGCAATACGCAATGCCCAAGCACTGTTAGCATGAATTTTGCGAAGAATTAAAATAATTTCAACAAAAATATCTGACCTAATACGACAGTTTAAAAAAAGCCCAAAAATCAATAACATGAATTATAATATGAATATGAAATTTAAATATCGGTTGCATTTGTGAATTCAAAAGATTTATATATTAAAATTTTTATCCTCTAATATTATTTTTGATTAAATGAACTGGTGCAGTACAATAATTCAACATTTAAAACTAACCTTTGAGGCCCGGAAACAAGGGTGGCGCAAACTGGGAAGTGAGATGCGGTGGAAAGAACAGAGGTGGCGGCGGATTGGCCGAAGATCGATTGGTCCCTGACGCACCGCCGTCCACGAGCGGCCGGAAACTGCTGCTGCAACAAAAATTCCCTATCGTCATTTAAAGAGAAAACCACAAATGCATAGCAAGTGGAAAGAGCAGTAGCGCAATTTATTGTGTTTGCAACAAGAGACAAATTGATTCAGCTACTGCAAATTATTGTTTCAAGTTTGGAAATAATTTATTTTTGCCGAGAGTTGGCACGTGGGAATTTCTGGTACTAACTTACATAAGCACATCTGAATTTCACTCCAAAATTTTCTTTATAGCTTTCTATTTGCAATATATCAAAGAATAATAAAAAATGTCGAAAAATGCAAAACTTTCATATCACAACAGACATTTTATCAAAACCTCACCAACATCGCGTATTGCGTTTTTTTAAGGAAGGGCATTTAAAAAATTATTGTTTATGATCAAATTTTGGAAGAGAGCTATAAGGTTTGTGCGTTTTTTTTATTATTTTTGGCACCTTGCCAATAAAAATAGATAAGGAAAATATTATTTTGTCTGGGAAAAGCAATACAAATATAAGATAGGTTTGAAAAACGAGGATTTTTACCAATTTTAAACCTTACTTACAGGTTCCTTTCGCTTCTTTATAAAGTGATGAGTTGAAAAAGTACTTAATAATCTCGAATAATAAACTCCATTCAATATGAGTCAAATGTTTCATATCAAATTTTGCTCAAGTCAAACACCGTAAAGTTTTGTCTCTGACAAATAAAGTTGATTGACAGAAATGTAGGAGAAAATTTTGTTACGGAAGAGAGTAAGTGAATTTGCGGGCAGGCGACAAAATTCAAAATTACACCAAGTCCGAAACGAGTAGGGGTTGAAAATTTTTGCACTCTGAGAGCCCCAGCCCTAAAATAAACTGGAGGGTGTGAAACGGCCACATGATTAAAGGAATTTCGCGTCGGTCGCACGCACAAGTCGCACTCAAGACAATTACTTTTTGCGTGTTGAATTAGGATTGCCTCTCTCACAAAGACACGCAGGCGAGGGTGTAAAAAAAACGAATGTCATAAAAATAATAAGGCAGGTGACGCTTGTAATACACGCGTGTAGTTGTACGTAGAACACCCACAGCATCACACCTTTTCTCATTAGTGAATAAAGTAAACACACGCAGCGAAACAAAGGAGGAAAACAAGCATCTTTTGTCATGTGCCAGATGTCAACGCAGTCAGCATCCCTCTCTTATTTTTCTTGCACTTGTTACAAAGGCTGTTATTTAATTTCAAATTGCCAGGCTCAAATTTAAGCACGCTGAGTTTTTACAAGTGTTAGTGTTGTAAAAATGATATTTTTATAATTAAAAAATTAGTAATATTTACAAATTTATTTTAGGTTTTGATTTTAAGTTTTGATCACATTTTATAAAATTTAAACGCATTTAAATTTATGTTAATTCCACATTATTAATAAAAAATTCTTCAATTTATTTTGAAAAACTGAAAGCATTAATTTAAAATAAATATTATCAAAATATATCATTTAAAAATTTAAACACATGTTAGCCACCTACATATTTATTTTGTTCCAACAAATATTACCTTTCGGGATTGGTCAAAATATCAGAAATTTGTTTGTTAAAAAATAGCGGTCAGAATTTATCAGAAAAGTTTTTACAATATATCAATCATTAATTTTATTTCTTCAGTAAACCAGTTGTCACATAAAAAAAATTATTAAAATATAAGGAAATTTGATAATTTTGTGATAATATTCATAATTTAAAATTTACATCTTGGATGTAATCTTCAATTAAGGGGTTGCCAGTTAAACATTTGGACCCAGTTATAAGGATTGCATTCTTCTATAATTGTAAGGAAACAAAACAGGCGCAGCACTTGGTCGCTTTCAGAATTATGCAATTCGCTCGGCACGGCTGCCGAGCCGGTTGCCTACGCACCGACGGCAGGCAGGGACGAATGCGTGTCTTTCTTAAAAATTAAAACTCAATTTGGAAAGTTTTCCGGCGCAGAAGCGGCCGAATTTACATTTTGCTGAAACGCAATTAGAGCGGCGGAAATTCGGAAATTCTGAATGAAGCAGCGAGAGTTGAGTGTGACGTAATTTATTTAGAACACTTCTTTTTCAGAGAGCGAGGCAGGAAATATCGCCGCGGCATGAGAAATTCATAGGGAATAAGATATAAAGTGGTGGTGCAGAGGGGTGGAGTTTGAGTGCTTGATGTTTTATAGGCTTTCCTCCCTCCTCCCCCTCCTCCTCCTCCTCCGGCATGTGTGTGTATCGCCGGTTGCAGCACCCACAACTTGACCAAGCGACGGTAATTAAAATCACGAAGAGGAACCGCGCGCGCCAACCGATTTTCCCTTTAGCACAGACGCCATTTAGATAATTATCCCGGCAGTCTTGTGATGTGTGTGCGCCAGAGAGGGAGTCTAATTTATTATGCAATCCCTTTGTTAATTTTATATGAATTCATTTGTTATTAAAATCTTTTTGTGCCCGCTAATGCATTTTGGTTACGGTGCAGGCGCTCCTCCTTCTCCTCCAGAGAGTGCCTTTTATCAATCTGGAAATACGAAGGCGTGATTCGCCTATGCCAACTTAACCACAAAACTTTCTCGTGAAAAGAGATTCAAAGCTCTGTTGCAGACAATTTGGAGCTCATTTGAAAGCCAGAATGATTACATGGAATATTTACATAAATTAAAATATAATATGAAGAGTTGATTGAAATACAAATTGACAAGATTTTCTTTGATTATATTATTTAAATTCTTTTAATATTAGTCATAAATCTAGAAGTCATTCCTACAATTTAGATTATTTAGATATTTATTTATAAAAATAGTGAAATAGTGTCAGCAAAAAACATTCAAAAGGTGACGCAGTTCAAATAGACACAATACAGAATGTTTTAAATAAAATCTGTAAGATAAATCCTTTAAGAATTTCTTTCTAGAACAAATTAAAATAAGGACGAATTTGCAATTTTTTGTTTTACTGCTTTCATTAGACTGCAAATGGAAACTATAAGTATACATAGTCCTGAATAAAATTGTGAAAAAATTTTTATTTTAGAAATCAAAATCTCACATTAGGTCAAATTGAGCTCGTCATTTCTATCAAAATATTTACAATATTTCATGATGTTCATGATCTTAACATTTTATATTACGAGGTGCTTTCTTCAAAAGCATCGTCACTTTTGATTGATAGCCTTGATTTACTTGATTTGCAGTAAAAAATATGATTTCCAAGATGTTATATTTATCACTGTGGTGGTTGTTGGCAGTGTGCGCTGGCGCGCGAGAAAGCGGTGGAATTAATTATTACAGGTTTGTAATTCGATTAGCATGCTAATTGCTCTAATTAGTAGCTCTCTGCCTGAGTTGACTCCTTTTGCCGGCGTGTCTGTTTTGAATTCCTCGCAGGCAGAATATTATGGCTGCTCGGCGTGTTTATTTTATGCGGCAAAGCGATTAGAAGCGTAACACTTGCTAATTGCTGGGGCCTGAAACCACTCGGCTCAGACGCGCGTTTCCTCGAGCCAATTTCATTCGTCTCTCCCGGGAATCGCTTTGACTGAGACTAAAAGACCTTCTGTGCCCACACGCTCACAGTTGTTGATAAAGCGCAAAACTCTTCACTTTTTCTCCTCATCCATCAAAAATTGCCCTGATACCAATAATTAGTTGTGCAGTGTATTAATTTTTCTTGCATTATTCCATTTGCTAAATATTAACAAAAGAACAAAAATAATATACATTATTTTTTTAAATAATAATCCTTCTCTAGATAGAAAAAATTTTAAAAAAAAAAATTAAAATAGAGCTTAATTATATTCAAAATGAAGTGCTGTAGCATTCAAATTCAAATACGAATGGAGGAATAAAAAAAATCAGCTTTTTTGTAAACTTTTTTAAATTGTTAAAATGTTATAATGCTCATTAAACAATGTAACACAAGTAGATTTTTTCAAAGTTTTCATAAACTTGTATTTTAATAAATAAAATTATAAAAGTTTAAATTAATACCGTTAAAATATTTAGCCATGAAGTGTGCCTCTCTCAATATAAAGTCGAGGCGACGACGTCGTCGGCACGTTATTCTTAATTAAATCGTAATTGCGCCTGATTTATGATTGCAGGACTGCGTGCACCTGAGACCCTGGCGTGCGCTACTCTAAATTACACACATAACGAGCCGTATTAGGCGCGCCTGTCCGCTTTAAATGCAATTTGCCGAGCGAAAATTTATTATTATTCGGGCGGCGGCGCCGAGTTGCAGTTGCGCGTTAATGGATTATTACGCTCGTTTGTTTCAATTATTTCGAGCAAATTGCAAACCGCCGCCGCAGTCATTCGTCCGAATTAGGGCCTCTCGACCAATTAGAGCGTCGCTGCTAAATTGGATTGAGCGCAAGACGCCCATGAATAATTAAGGCAATAGATTTTCACAGAGCGGCCTTTTAATTTGCGAGCAGCGTGCATGTGTGACACACAAACTGGCGCGCGTGCCTCTTTGATTGTTGTTGTTCCAGAGAGTGCAATCGACGATAGTAATGAGAGGGGTGGCCCGACCCGGGGGATGGCATTATTTTGTTCGGCCGCCGCTTTGTTGTGCTCTTCGCCAAGACGTGTGCAGCAAACAAAGCGGGCGTGCGCTTTTACTATTAAAATTTAATATGCAGTGACTTGGCTGAATTTTTACATAAAACCGACGCGCTTTGAATATAAGCATTTTTTTTCAATTTTTTTATGCCCTTAAAAATTGAACTGTAAATTTGAGGTAAAAAAACCAAATTTGATAAAGAAAATAGAAAGACCATGAAGTCGCACAGACAGATCAGTTATGTAATGATGTGTTGAAATAACGTAGTATTTTCATAACATTTATATTAATTTAAATAACATCATAGTAATATTTAATAAAAGAAATAACTCTAAATTAAAGAAAAAAAAGTATGCAATTTTAGCAAATTAATTATATAAATGTTATAAAAAATATCTCCAAATATATCTAGATTTAGTGTTAATTAGAGTTTTATCAGTAAATTGGGCTTTTTACTCAAATTGTTCTTCATAGAAAACACATCGTGCTAATTTATGATGAAACAACCAACTACTCAAAATAGCCTTTGGAAGAAAGGGGAACTTTAATTTGAACAATTTTTAAAAACTTTTAATTCAAAGGCACCACCCTTGAAAAATGACACTTTCTCGGTCCGGAACCTGGCTCGAGAATCAAGTGTGCGTGCGTGTGAGCGAAAATGAATAAATTACGCGCGGAATTTGGCAGCGGTGTCCAGTTTCGCGGCGGGCGGTCCGACAAAAATGCGCCGTCAAAACGCGTTAAGATATATTTATGCAAGTCGAAAGAAAGAAAGACGAGTGAGTCAATGGTTTGGAAGTGCAGAGTGCAAAGCTTCCTCTCAAAAGTGCTCAGAGCCAATGGTTTGTGCCCTTCCGGTTGCATAAATGCAGCGGGTGACCGAGGCAAAAAGGAAGGGAGACTCTTTCGAGCACGTGTCGCGCGCGTGCCGCCTCCGCCCGAGCATCCGATTAGTCGGCGATAATGTCGCGCGATTGTGTGCTCATTAAATTTACAGCTCGTTCACCTCATCTTTTATGCAAATTCTCATTTCACTAGGTGCTTCACTACTCTGCCTGCCATAAATATTAATCAAATTTCTTGCACTTTTCATAGTAAAATTAAAAATCAACTTGGATCATTACAAAAAGATATTTATAATTATACTATTTCAAATAAAAAAGACTTATGTTTTATTAACCATTTGAGTTTACAAATATACCATCAGAACCAGATTTTTCAATGGAAATATTTTCAATTTAATGTAAAATATATAGAAAGTGAAGAAAACATGTTGTTTTAGAAAATGATTATTAACGCATGTTTTTCACTCTACTTGAGAGCCAACTTCAAATTCAATTTTCTTTTAATATGCGTACAATAGTCAATTCAAATTTATTATTATTAGTGTAATGAAATTGCAAAATGAAGAATTTTAAAATTATTATCAATTTTTTATGTAGAAGGTTATATTGAAATTATCTGCAAACTCATTCCATTCAATGGTACAGGATTATTGAATTTCAACGTGTGAATTATTCAAGCCATCAATTATGCACACGATTTGATTTGCAGTTTGGGCGAATATTTCCAACGAATTCCATTAGGCAAAACGCGTTTGTAAATTAATCAAGCAAATCCTCTGGCACATATCCGCAGTTAATTCAAGTTGGTCGCATAATTCAGACTGTCGAGAGTTAGTAGATTCGAATTATTGTGTGTGCGCCTTTAAGCCGCTATTTTCAGCTGAGCGCACTCAATTATCTGGCGTCGACGTTGATTGGATTAATTGAATCCACACACGCTCGGACATCGATGATTGCAGGCATTCATTATGGAAACGATGACAGTGATTGCGGAAACGGAAGCGCCGAGACCGAGCACGAAAATGCAGCGCGCGTCCCCAAAGTCCTTTTGCTTCCTTTGATATCGACAATCAACTTTTCTCCTCCGCATCGGATCATATAAACTTACTTTCAAGAGCACTGATCAATAAACAACTTCTTTTATTTGTATTGAAAAATATAAAGAGCTGCATTTTTTATTTTTGATGAGAATTTTGACAACGTTTAAAATTTTGTAATATTTTAAATAATCTTAAATTGATAGAATCATCCGTTTTTTTTTTATATTTCCCCGCCACATTTTCTTTTATGTATTTTGATTATTATTATTATTTTTTGGTTAAATTTTGCTTTATTTTTATTTTGCTTTGCTTTTCTTTAAAGAAAAAACTATTCTGATTCAGTTATTCATGCCTTTTTAGTTTCTTCCAACTAATTAATTAATTCATCTGGAGAGCTGAACGATCATAATCAGCGGCAGTTAAATAAATTTTTATTTAGTCACGAACGAGAGTGAGACACATCTGTCCATACAGCCGGCAGAATTATCTCGTTTAAACCAATTCTTAACCGCGGACGGCACGCAAGCTAACATTAAGTGACGATTCGCGACACATATCTAGTTATGAGTTGCAATTTGGCCAATTAATTTCATCTGCGCTTCTTGGTAATAAACTTGAATCATGCGTGCAGTTATTAATCTAACAAGCAGCGGCTCGCTTATCAAGATGGGCCCATTTCATTCTTTTATTTCTTTTGTAATTAAAATTTCTCAAGTATCAGGAGTGGCTTAAGAAGAATGAATAAACTTGCATATTAGGAAACGTGCCTTAATTCTGACGATTAAGTTTAAAAATTCCTACCTGTCTGTGGACGTAAAGCTGGGGAACAAATGAGATCCGAAGGGTGAAATGTTGGACAGGGGGCCCCTGAGGGAGACGGCGCTGCCAGCGGCGGCGGCTGCGGCCTCCGAAGTGGGCGACGAGGGGCGTCCGCTGGCTACGATCGTCTGCGGTGGGTGAGGAGAGCTGCGGGCAGAACTGAAAATTCAAATTTTATTCTATAAAAAATTGTAATTGTTTCTATCTAATTATCAATTACAAAACCACAGTTTACATACATTTTTTTATATTCTCAGAGCACAAAAAAATTTACGACCGACGATGATACGACTGATTGCCAAATAAATAATTTTGAATATACCAACAAATAATTGGGCTTGATAATTAACACACTTTTCAAAAACATTGCTATAAATAAGATTACAATAAAGCAAAAAATATCTCTCTCTTCAAAGCGTCAAGGTTGCGAATACAAACTTACTTTTAGCTATAAAATATAAAATTTTGGAAATTTTGTTTGACTTTCACAGAGGGGAATAAAAAAACTGTCCGTGTAACTTTTTCCCTGTGTGATTTTATATTCATTATTATTTTATTTTTGTAAATAAGAAATAACTTATTGAACTTATAAAAACTAAAATTGTGATATTTTTAGAATATCTTTAAAATACCTGTGGCTGTATGAGGGCGAGGCTGCTGCCCTGGAGCCGACTTCTGCGCCGTGACTGCCATCGTCCTCGTCATCAATTTCGTGTTCGGACGCAGAACCTGGTCTCCTGGCGTCTTCGGCATTGTTTGTCATAATTGCAGGGCTGCTGTTGGCGCTGCGGCTGCTCGCACCAGAACCTATATCCTCTGTCTGAAATCAAACCGCAATAGGAATAAATAATTATAATAATAAATATGATTTATTCATAGAGGATTTGGCAGAATAGAACAAGAGAACTCACTGGTTAGTAAACCGAAATTTAATCAAGTTGTTTTGACATTGTACAAATTAATTAATATTAATTGTTTTCAGGGTTTAAAAAAACTTTAATTTCAATTAATTCTTAAATCTATAATGCTAATAAAGCTAAAAATTCATATAATCTGTATTATATTTTAATAAAAATGTTTTAGAAAAACTAAAGATAATAAAATAACTTTTTTTTAAATTTATAATTGACTAAGTATAATTTCTATAGAAATATCTTTTTTATTAGTTTTTTGCACGCTATTTTTTTATGGACTCCTTATTGACATACATATATGTTAAATCGAGTCTTTACAAAAATGTGCAACAATGGTGGGTAAAATTTCCAATTGTTTTCCAATAATTTATAAAAATGGCCCGCTATTGTTGTGTGTAATGACTTGATTTGACTATGTCGATAAGAAGGCCTTAAGTAATAATAATCTTGATTAATCTTGATTAAAAAGTCTTCTTACCTTATCACTGATCGACTTGTCAGAAATTATGCTGGGCTTCGTCTTGTCTTGATCGTCTCTCTTTCGTTGCTCCTCCTTCAACCTTTCAGCTTTGCGCCACTTTGCACGTCTGTTCTGGAACCAAACCTGAAACAAGAACATGATTTTTTTCTTTCAATAAGTATATATTCACTTGTTTCTAATGAAAATTATCAATTCACTAAAACAATTGTACAAATGTTTTTCTTTATGTAAATAAATGATTATTTTAACAATATACAGTAATAATACTAATTAATTAAAAAAATTCCCTACAGGAATTATTGTACTTAAATAATAACAAAGCTCTTTTGTATCCACACACAAGTGTTCTGATATTCTGCAGTGCTCCATTGCGCAAAAGCATAAGCAGACTCCTCTCAGTTACACTACACGTCTTCAGAACTCACTCGCGAATAATTACGATGATGTGACACTTGAGCAGGTTTTTCTCGTCTCATTAGAGTTTAAACTAATTGGGTCCCCTTCAACCGACATCACACACCATAGCATAAAGCTCTTCGCGTTTTAACAAATCCAATTATGTCTCTGCGTGAGATTTTTCTACTTCACTCGTAAAAATTTAACCCTTTTTTGTCGCGTAGTTTTAATTTTATAGTACGCAAGAAAAATATCAAATTGGTACATGTGCACGCACGCAGAGGTCAAGAACGCAATTCTCGTTATTCGCAAGTACCTTCTGACCTCTTTCTCTAATTAATGATCTAAGAGAAGGTCAGTTATCTTCAAAACCAGCACCTGACCTGATTATTATTTTTACACTGTAATGTTCAGGCAACTGGATTTTTTTTTAATTTTAGAATTTATTTAAATTCATTTTCAAATTTTATGACTTTTATTGGAAAATCAACAATGATTTTAATTCAGACTTAAAGTAAAAATTTATTGATTGTTATCATCAGAGACGGTCATGGTGTTTTTTTTCCAAATATAATTAATTTTCCTTGGACGAGTTTGTGCAGCATTTTGAGAAAACAGCGAATCTTGTTTCAAGCTGGGCAAACAAGATGAAAAGGTTCTTTTTTGTGTGTTTGCTTCAGGTAACCCAGTTTTCCAACACCGAAATGTCCTAAGGGGAGTCGAAGGGATGAGAAGGAAGTCCGACTAAAGTTGTTATGTATGCACACACAAAGGCGGTCTTATATATCGAACGAGAAGAATAAATTCACTTTACAAAAAGAGAGAGACTCCTTTTCGTTCGCCACCCAATCAAATCAATCGGAAAATTGCATTTCGAAGGAGGAGCTGGAATAATGTAAAGGGGATGGAACAGAGAAAACTTTTTTTTTTAAATATTTAATTAATGCATATTCATAACTTTAAATTCAAAATTAAACAATTTGTCGGATTTTTTCCCTGTAAAGTTAGGTCTAGCTGATATTTTCTTAGGATTCTAGAAAATATGTTAAATATTTAGTCTTATTATTCTCACTTCATAAAAAAGTAGTCTTTTTATTTATTTATGAATGAAAAAATAAAAATGAAGAACAGCATTTATTGTTATTAATAGCCTGAAAATGTCAGCACAAACAAAAAATACTTTGCTTTAAACTAAAAACGAAATCTCCTTTCAGATAAATCTTCCAAGGCTTAGTTTGTTTCCGCAAGATTTTCTCCTCCTGTGGTTTTTCTATCTGCATCCCTCTCGTTCTTATTTCATCCCCCATACACGGGATGAGCAAATTTGGATTTTTTTAAATGCACGCTCCCCCGGGGGCCGCGCCAGCCAATGCGGAGAAAAGTTTTAACGCTGGCCGGGGTGTGCGAGGGAAAACGTGCAGCGGCGGCGGTGGGTAATGTACTTTTTAAAAGCAGAAATTACATTTCGCAGAATATTTCCTTAATACTTTTTAATGGAAGTAAAAGTCTCTTCCATCGCATTAGTGGGGAAGGAAGATTGGAAAGGAGGTGGAGTGAAAGAAAGAAAGAACATTTATTATCAAACGGAGGCGGCACTGCCCAGCAGGCAAGAAAAATTGCCTGCTAAGAACTTGATGGCGTTTTTATTCCGATTCGTTATTTCCATTTTTAGCTCCGCTAATGGAATAAAAGCACTCTCAGAAAAATGAGATTATTCTCGAGAAAGCGTTGAATATTTGTAAAAGATTTATATTTTGTGTCTTCGTAGAGATATGACGGGGAGAGATAAAAGACTTTTAACTATAGAGTGGTAATTTTCATTAAAATTATACCAGGCAAATCAGGGAAAGATACCATATCATTTGTAATTTACAGATAAAATTAAAAATCAATTATTTTAGATCTTGCATTTTCTTTTTTTGAAGTTTCAAAATTTTAATAATTATTTTTTTTTTTTATTTAATACATTTTCCTCTTTTCATAATTCATCTAACTGAGAAAGAAAAACCGCAAATTAATTACATACTTTCAGGCTATCGATTTTTGTGATGATTCAAATTTTTAATTTGATTTTCTTTTGTTTCAAACTCGTATTATTTTTAAGCTGGTGGCAGGTCTTGAAACCGGTTTGAGCAGATGAATAATTAACCTCCTGTTTATGTAAAGTTCTTTCGAAAGCCGCTTGTTTTGCTGATAATTCGATAGGCTGAAGAAGGTCTCGTGCAAAATTAATTAATTCCGAGGATCCGCGTGTGCTATGAAAGGCTCTTGAGCAAGTCGCGGGTATAGGCCTGCCCGCGCCACACGCCGCCCTCCCGCCCGCTACTTACACTAATAGCGTTGTCAGTCACGGCACAAATGTCAACATCACTTTTTATCTCGCTCGCTTTCTTGCTGCATTCAGACGTCATTCAAGCGACTTTTTCATTCAATTTTCCCCTCACTAAATGTGTGTGCAAGAGGCTTTTCACTGCAATCGCCTACAAAAGCACGCCTCCGCGCCTCATTTTCATTAATTTCATCTTTTTATTGCTTGCTTTAGCGAAAACGAAACACACGTTCGCCGCGGTGGAAAGAAGCATTTTGCTTCGTCTTCCTTTGTAACGTCAAAAAGACGACGTTTCCAAAGAGTAGGGCGAAAATTGCTCATTCGAAACTAATCGATTGTCAAGTTACTAATATTCTCTGATAAACTCTGATTATGATGTTATTTTTGTTTTTATTTATTATCAATAACCATAAATATTTCAGTTTTTTAAATTATTTAAATTTAAAATTTAATGATTTATTTTTCAGTTTTCTTCTGACCATAAAATTTTGTACTTCAACTACAAATAAAATTAATTTAAAATAAAACAGTAATAAACCATAAATTCACAGAAAACAATACCTCATAGATTAGATATTAATGGGTTGTAAGAAGAACATGTGTACTACATGGTCGGCGTAGAGACCCGTTATTAGGGAATGCTGATTATTTAAATTTTATAACATACATTATGGTGGTATTAAAAGCTGCATAAAGATTCTTGTTTTAAATATTGTTTTTCCTCTGTTGCATGATTTATATTAAAAAATTTGTTTTTGTCTGATTTATTTCGGCAGTAATTGCGTGATGATAAATCAATTAAGTATTAAGTCGCATTGCAATTAAAAGTACAAATTGATCTTGCAGTCCTAGAAAAATATTTTTAGCAAAAACAGACAGATTAACCGCAAAAATAGTTTTGAACTTTGTAAAATTAGTCGAGAACGCTAGAGAAATCTGTTATTTTTCAATGGAATAAATCTTGTGTTTGTATCAAAATTTGAAATGAAGGATTGCATTGAACTTTGTTAAGAAAGAATTTGTATGCAAAGGATGCGCTAATTGAAAGCATTCATGAGCTAAAATATCAATTATCAGAATCGAAGAGGTAGGATTGGCCTTCTGGGAATTACATATTTAGTAATTCAATCTTCATTAATAAAAAAAAAACTTCAAATCATGACCAGAAATATAATTTAAAAAATTTATTGAACTACATAAATACAAGATTTAAAAAATTTTCATGTGTACAAACGTTTAAAAAGATAACTAAAAATGCAATGATTTAAAAATAAAATACTATTGCACTCTTGCAAATGGGAAAAGGGAACCAATCTTCTGCAGGTCTTTGATAGGGAACCTATTGATTTTCATTGATTTTTAATAAGTCAAGAAGAGTATTTTTTGGTATTTTCTAAATCCCTCATTAATAAAAATGTAAATAAAGGCATTATTTTTGCATATAAGTTTCTGTCTCAAAACCTTCCGTCTAGAATAAATAAATTTTTAATAGAAAAATTACTGATAATGTTCTTTTGTACATCCCAGAATTAAAATTGGATCCCTCCAATGAGTACAAAAAAATCTTTTTTGTATTCATGGTCTAGTGTAAGTTGAAGACCATACATTGGCCCCGCGGTTATGATTACAAATATATGTAAATGAAAAGTAAATAATGTAGAGTGTAAGCACATAATGTGCGCCCCGATAATACAGATAGACACTCGCTTGAATGGAATTAGCCGTGCATTCTGCGGGACATCTGTTTGATTTTCGAGGGGGAGCAGGTTGGTGCGAGGGGCCAAAGGGGTGGGAATTTGTTCAGCGAGCCGATTAATTGCGGTTGACGCGACAAAAAACACTCACTCGATGATGCACTTTTTCTGCTTGTAAAAACATTCCTCAAACATTTTCCATTCGGCAAAAGAAATTGATTGCCTGTGAGAAGAGCGAAATAATGTTCGATTTAAATGGAAATTTTCCACTTGCTTTATTTGCTGCCGCTTTGCCGAGAGAGACGCGAACTTTTATATCCGCTTTTTCTCTCCAAAGAGAAACAAACTTGAGTGATAGCAGAATTGACGATGTGAATTATTGACGGTAAAAACAATTTGCGTCAAGATAAATATGACAGCATGAGAGGAGCAGAGAGACGCGGCGAATATGGCCAAAATTACTCCGAGAAATTCCGTCTGATGCGAAGGAGATGGCGGATAAATTTGAGGAGAGGAAGCGAGGGTGCTGTAAAAATTATTGACATGATTTTAGATTAAATTGGGAATTGCAACAGCCAAGAGAGAGGGAGCCGAAAAAATATATACACACGCAAGAGAGAAAGAGACAGTTCCACCCTAGAGGTATAAAAATGGTAACCGAAACCACCCTACACATAATGTGTCCTTACATTAGGAACGAGTTT